CCAGAGCTCCCTCCCAACCCCACCCTGCTGTGAGTCTTTGGCTTTCAGTGCTGCCACGACGGATGAGGAGCGCCAGCACCTGCAGGAGGTGGGGCTGTCCCACCTGGGGGAGTTTGTCAATGTCTTCTGCCACGGCTCCCTGGTGATGCAGAACCTGGGGGAGACATCCACCCCCACACAGGGCTCCGTGCTCTTTGGCACTGTCAACGGCATGATTGGTAAGGGTCAGAGGTAGCAGAATGTCTAGGCTGGAAGGGACCTCCAAAAGCCCACCTGGGCAGGAGGATCCCAAGTCCCCTTCTCCCCTGTCTTCCCCATCCCTGCTGAGGTCTCCTCGTGTCTCCTTTCTTCTCTCTTCTCCAGTGAAGTGCTGCTCTGTGTCACTCTCCCCTCAGAAACTCATTTTTTCCCTCTGTTTCCAGCAGCAACTCCTTCCCTGAGCTCTCCCAGGAGCCCCTTTCCAGCCCAAGCCCAGTCCCAACAGCTGCTGGGATGCTCTGGGGTGAGCCCTAAACCTTCATCTCCCCTTTTTCCCCCTGTGCAGGGCTGGTGACCTCGCTGTCAGAGAGCTGGTACAACCTCCTCCTGGACGTGCAGAACAGGCTGAATAAAGTCATCAAGAGCGTGGGCAAGATTGAACACTCCTTATATCCTTTGGCAGCTCGCCCTGGAGCCCGAGCCAGGCTGGGGTGGGGAACTGGGACACACTGGTGGGAGTGTCCAGCAGCTGGAGAAGGGGCTGAGGCCTTTGCCAGGGGTTTGTGCTCGCAGAGAAGGTGCCTGCAGTGAAGAGGAGTCCATCTGGCAGGGCTGGAGGATGAAATGAGCTTTGGGGCAGCCTGAAAAACATGCCACGGGTGCTGTGGGACCCCATCTGTCTGGGGTGCCTGTAGGCCCTGGGCTGGGGTGGATCTGGGTGGATTTGGGTGGATCTGTGTGGATTTGGGTCCTTGACTGTGGCACCTGGAGATCCTTCCACACCGAGCGCAAGACGGAGCCGGCCACGGGGTTCATCGATGGGGACCTCATTGAAAGCTTCCTGGACATCAGCAGGCCCAAGATGCAGGAGGTGGTGCAGAACTTGCAGGTGAGGTGGCTGCTGTGAAGCTTGAGGCCTTCAAAAAATCACCCCGGGGGTGCTGCTCAACACCTGCCTGGAGAGGAGGCAGTGTGTGCCCAGGAAGGCCACCAGCATCCTGGCTTGGGGCAGCACTGGTGTGGCCAGCAGGAGCAGGGCAGGATTGTCCCCCTGGGCTGGGCACTGGGGAGGCTGAACCTCCAATCCTGGGGGCAGTTTTGGGCCCCTCCCTCCCTCCCAGCAGGAGCTGGAGGGGCTGGAGCGTGGGCAGAGAAGGGCAACGGAGCTGCTGGGGAAGGGTCTAGAGCCCAAGTGTGGGGAGGAGCAGCTGAGGGAGCTGGGGGTGCTGAGCCTGGAGCAAAGGAGGCTCAGGGGAGACCTTCTGGCTCTGCACAGCTCCTGACAGGAGCCTGGAGGGAGGGAAAAGGGCCTCAAGTCACCCCAGGGGAGGTTGAGGTTGGCCCTGAGGGACAATTTCTTGCCCTGGAGGGTTGCCCAGGGCTGTGCCAGGCTGCCCAGGGCAGTGGTGGAGTCCCCACCCCTGGAGGGGTTTCCAAGCCGTGGAGATGTGGGGTGAGGGACACAGGTTAGAATCAAAAAGGTCTCTTCCAACCAAACCAGTTCTGTGATCCTAGATCAAGCAGCAGGATCACCCTGCTCAGGATTCCAGGCTGCAATCAGTCAACAAATCCTGAAGGCTGGTCCCTTCCTAGAAGGGGCTGGATGATCTGGGGTGGGGGTTTCAGCCCCCCCTGACCCCCCCCTGTCCTCCAACACCCTTTCCTCTCCCTGCAGATCGACGACGGCAGCGGCATGAAGAGAGAGGCCACCGTGGATGACCTCATCAAGATCGTGGAGGAGCTGACCAGGATCCATTAGCAGGATTCAGGCCCCTTCCCAAACACCTCCTTCCAC